TCACTTATTCGATTGCTCCTTATCCCGAATACAAGTACTCTTAGCTATATGGTTGGCGCAGAAGGATGAATTCTTTTTGTCTGAAAACTATTTTTTTATGCTTACTTTCCTACTGAATATACTTGATCTCGAAATGTCTTTCTTAGGCCGATTATGGATGGATCTTGACACCAGGGTGATCTGTGCATTGGCATAAAGAATAGAATGAGCTCAAAATTCGAGGATATCTGAATCGAATTGCTTCTAGACCGAAATTCGTTTTCACAATTATATTCATTTGATTCATGATATAGTTTAATTTTATGCTGAATTGTGTATTTTTTATTATTATGTTAGATCTTCATCTTAATGCATAAGGCGTACATTAGTATTTCATTACTTCTTTCACTTTTATTTCTAGCATATGTGACACTGCTATAATGGACTTTGATGGCCTTATCGAGGTTAACTCTGCTCTGGGTACAGCCGCCGTGATTGTGATGAACAAGCAAGCTGATGTTGTACGTTGTATAGCGAGGCTGATAGAGTTCTACAAGCACGAGTCATGTGGCCAATGTACTCCATGTCGTGAGGGCTGCGGCTGGATGATGAAAATAATGAACCGATTTGGTACGCTTGGCTTGGGTTCTCATTTTCTGGATATCTACGATTCGCCCCATTGCATATTCAGTTTTTCTTAATGTCACGAATTGAAGGGAAGCACACTTCTTAATTTAGTTACTAGGACGGGTTGGAGATTGCATTTTTAAAATCTTCCTCGAATCGTTCGACAACCTGATAGGTTAAGAAAACGCGCTTACAAACACATTTAGCATTGCTATAATGTCTAGGTCAAAATAAGTCACGGCATATGGGCAACCTATGAAAGCCTCATAATTTGTAGGGTCGGGTGGATTTTTAGAGTAAATGCAGCAATAGATAAATAAAAATAAGTTTATTCGTTCCGGATACTTTACCTGAAGCAAGATTATATTGATGAGAGTACATTAACTCTTGGTGCTATCGTTGGATAAGGATAATTTAAAAATTACTTGTTTCCCAGTTCACGTAAGAGAGTTTATATTCATTTTGTTTCCGCCGAGAGGTTTTCTACTTTGCTTATTTTATTCGTTTTATACCATTTTGCGCCCGCAGTTTGCTTTTTGTCTACTGTTTGCCGTCAGAATACTCTGAACCAACCCAGTTTTGCTACTATTGCCCATACACAATACTTAGAAGTAACCCGCCATAATTATAAAAGCAAAATTGGC